CTCTCTCTCTCTCTCTCTCTCTCTCTCTCTCTCTCTCTCTCTTCATTTGGCACACAATGGGCACGATTTTGCAGTCAATATATTGTCTTAAAGAGGACTATCTTTGCACACATACGGAGACAAATAGATGGACAGCAGACAGACAGACATCCAGAGCTCAGTTCAATGGATAAGTTAAGTTCAATAGAAGAGGACATGCAATACATGAGTCCAAACCAATGTCTTAAACTCTTTTGTCTGAACATAATAAAAAACCCATCATGTATTCAATACAACACAATAACAATGATATCAATGGATAAGTTTGAGGAGAGAGAGAGAGAGAGAGAGAGAGAGAGAGAGAGACCGTATGAACAGTTTGTTTGCATTAATATACTGTTTAAGCCGTTTGTGTTTCACCGCAAACACACAAACATACAAAGAGTTATATGAAATGTGATTTTATCATAAATACTCTCTCTCTCTCTCTCTCTCTCTCTCTCTCATCCAGTTGTATATATTGTATGTATTGTATTCATTGCACGTTAACCACAAATACATCAACTAATCCATAGGTCTTATGCTATGAACTAAAGAATATTCCAGTATTTTATTGATTTACTCAGTGTTTGAAGAATACATAGAATTGAATGAGTTCTGTGTCTATACTGTATATCTATAGAGAATAAACGTATAGAAAAATAATAATAAATTATTATAAGATTTTTATGATTGAATTCTCTCATGAATTTATGTCCTAATATTTCCTAAAGATATAAAAACATGGGAGAGAAAAGTTTTTATATATTACTTATAAACTAATTTATACTTGACTTGAATATTATATCGTATTATTATTATTGAGAGAATTGTAATTTTGCTGTTGTTTTTGTGTAAAAAACACATAAATAAATTAATTTCAAATTTAAAGAATACTTTTTGGTTTTATTTCACTGTTTTTATTACAATATTTCAGTCATTTATATCCAATACAATCACATTATTATAAGACTTTAATATTTGCATTCAATTTGCATATAAATTAACATTTATTTTATAACATATAGTTTTTGTTAATAGAAACAAACTAAAAATATAATTAATGTACTAATTATGTATATAATGATAATAATAATAGTTATTACAGTTGCAAATAATTATAAACACGATCATTTTAATTTTAAACAATATTCAATTCTAAATACAATATATAGTTGTATATAAGATATGATAGGAATGTGTGTCTCATGTAATATCCAATGATTGATATGTGATTCTTAGGTATAATCTATTGAATAATTGTGTTATCGGTGTCTCCAAAGCCAGTGCCGAAGACAACTGTGCGAAGAATGTGAGAGTAATAATAAGAACTAGTGATGAATGCACTGCCGGTGTCCACGAGTGCCACCACAACGGGTGCAGTGAATACCCGGCGCTCACTATAATCAACAACAATATATTTGTGTCCATCACTCCGACCGATAGCTTTGATGCCCTGTTTGCTAGGGATATACAGAGAGGGGATCAATGGTTTGGGTCCTCATATTGACGGCTAGTCTATAATTAATGGTTTTGTTTTT